GGTCGTGACCCACAGGTTAAGAACCGCTGCTTTAGGCCCTTAGCTCCAGTGCCTTTCCAAGGCCCCAGCACACAGTGGTTAAATCCACAGGCTCTGGAAATCCGCTAAACCCAAATTTGAATCCTGGCTCCTCCACTTCTTAGCTGTGTGACCTTGGAAAAGTTACTTCACCTCTCTGGACTTCAGTGTCTTTATCATTAGCTGATGAGAATAAATGGGCCTGCCTCATAGATTGGTTGAACAGACTACGCCTGGGTATCTAGAACACTCGATAGATGTGAATCATGGTTTTGTTTTTATTTTATTTTAAAAGATGTGTTCGTTTTGTTTTCTAGGACCTATCGCGACTATCCTTACAACCGGCTCAGATGATGGCTCTGACGTTTATCACCTATATCGGTTGTGGGCTTTCGTCCATTTTTCTGTCCGTTACTCTTGTGACATACATAGCCTTTGAGTGAGTGCACACAACTGGAAACATATTCTGGAAAGCCTCGCCTTCAATTCCAAAACGCATTGTTAATGAATTGCTTCCCTTGGCCTACCCTACCCTGTATAACCCTCTATCGAGAAATGTCAGGAGAGGTTCTCACTCGTCTGGGAGCTCACTGAAGGGCAGGTCCTTGGCTGTTGTTGTTTTCATGAGAATATAGTTCACATATCATACAATTCAATAGTGCAATCATATCAAGAAGAGTGATACAATCATCACCACTTCTGTTTGGGAACATTTGCTTTGTTCCTGTACTCATCATTATTTACTGTCCATTTCCCCCCAGCCTTTCCTGCCATACCCCACAGAACTATAGATTTACCTATTCTAGATTTTATATACAGAAAAACATTTTTTAAAACTAATAAGAATAACAAAGTAAAACAGAGAAAAACCTCATTAGAAGAGAAAGCAAAAAATATTAAAAACTAGAACATGTGTTAATGGCTCATAAGGGCGATCGAATGATAGGGCGCTAAATTTTAATACTGCATCAACCACAATCTACTTTTGCAGTGCATTCTGCATGGTAGCAATGTTATTCCCATCCCTGGCCCATGGTCAGAGGGGATTCATCAGGGACTTAATCCACCTGTATTTCCCCTTCTTTAAAAAAACAAAACAAAACTGAAACAGCTTTAAAATGGGTCAAAGGGGACATCAAATGATAAGATATCATATTTTGACCTAACTAGTCTGTGACAGTTGACTTTACATTGCTCTCTGATAACAGGGCTATTCACATTCCTCAACTGAGTGGAGGGGACTCACCCAAGGCTGAACCCATGTGTAAGACCTCGATTTTAGTTGCCTTTGTGCCCTAGAACAATCCCTGGTTCCTAGTAGACATTGAATATGAAATGAAAGATGGATACAGACCCGGAAATGTCTGAACCTGAAATCGACCGTACTATCATGCACAGCTAAAGAACCATAATTCATCAAAGAAGTTTCCAAATTTTTCCAAGCACACATGAAAGATCTAATCTATCAGTGGTACCAGGATGAAGAGGAACAAAGGATGTAAAAATCCTCAAGAGTGTGGCTTTGTTGGTCACAACAGAGTGACATTCCAAGTAACAGTATCTCTTTCATGGCTTAGCAGAAATGATCCTTTCAGTCACTATTGGGGAAGAGTTTCTGAAAATTCTGTTGGAAAAGAAAAGAGTGAGCCGTTTATAACATGAACTAAATGGAACAAGCTGTAAGTTCTGGAATTTAGGTTTGGGGGCTCTGATAAGGAAGTGCACAAATGTCATGTCAATGCCAAATTTCAGCTCCAGCTGTGACTACAGGTCTACTTGTTGGCCTGTGGAAATATTAGCGAGACTAAATTCCCCTAAGGCCAGCCATTACCAGGGAGGATTTCATCAGATCTAATTTCACAGACATAAACATGTACATGTTACAGACGAGCTGTGTTTTCCTATGCCTCTTACATTTAGCTATACTTTAAACTGCTTCTCTCCATGATCTCATTTTAACTAATAGCACAAGATAATAGGGCAATCTGGCTATATTTGGAAGGCCCGAATATTGCAGCAGAAATGTTTCTAGAAGTCGTTTGGGAGAAATCGAGTGGGTGAGCAGTGGATTCCACTGCAAACTATTTAAAAGGATGGGTCAACAGTCAGCAGGTCAAAGGTCCCAGTGAGAAAGGAATGCCCATTTCCCATACAGTCATCACAGCTCAGCTTGCCTTTGTGGTGGTGGTGGTGGTGGTGGTTTGCCTTTGCCTTTCCCCCTCCACACCCCCTGCCACACTGGAAAAGAGGAAAAGGGTGCATTTAGATATTAGCCCAATAGGAAAAATTAATTGCTTAGAATTCTGAGACACTCTGACAGATGTGCTCTTATAAAGGTTGGCAGAATGTCATGCTAATTCTCTTCTTGTCCATTCCTTGTAGAAAGATCCGGAGGGATTACCCTTCCAAAATTCTCATCCAGCTGTGCGCTGCTTTGCTCCTACTGAACCTGGTGTTCCTGCTGGACTCATGGGTTGCGCTGTACAGCAGGCGCAACCTCTGCATCTCGGTGGCTGTGTTCCTTCATTATTTCCTCTTGGTCTCGTTCACATGGATGGGTCTGGAAGCTTTCCACATGTACCTGGCCCTTGTCAAAGTGTTTAATACTTATATCCGAAAATACATCCTTAAATTCTGCGTCATTGGCTGGGGTAGGTATCTTTTTGCTTGCACTCGGTCTGGAATTTTTGTGCCTTTTTTTTCCTCCGGTGTTTTGACTTTTATTTAATCAAGGAGAGACTATGAAGCAAGTCACACCTGGACAGTAACTAAACCAGCTTGAGCCTCCTTACAGGCTGACCTGCTCCAAGAGTAAGCTTGTCCTGTCTTTCTAGATTATACAGGGCTTCTTAAACTTTCCTCACCTGTGACCCCCTTTGTCTGATTCATTTGCAACATGGGCAAGTGCTGCCAGCAGCACCCCAGATTCATGACACTTTTGATTTTGAATTTACTGCGATGCCCACATTCAGTTACTCGGCCCACGGTGAGGAAGCTTTGTTCTAGAACACTCGAGCATAACACTCTTCTAGAGGCATGGATCCTCTCTGTAGTTCCAGATTGTCACATAGAAGGGACTCAATACATTGAAAAAGTTACGTTGGTGATCACGAGGCGAAACGCTTAGTCCCAGGCTCCTAGTGAGCCTCAGTCTGTCCCTCCCAGAGATCACCTGCCTGCATGATGAGACCAGAGTGAGGGAAAGCCCGTATAAAGCCTAACCTAATGCCTCTGCCACACTGGCACCGCATTTCCGATCACATGACCCATTAGCAGTGGGTCACAATGTCTTATGTTCTCCTAAGATCATGAAGGTTTCTTACTTCTTCCATTTGACTTGACTTATCCTTGACTAAAGTTAACTCAATCTCTGCTTGGATACTTCCATTGTTGGTGAGCTCATCGCCTCACAAGGCAGCTAATAACCATTTCCTAAAGTCCCACCGTTCATTAAGTCCAGGCTGCACACTCTCTTACCCAGGAGTCTTAGTTTTGCTCTTTGAGGTGAAATAAAATACACCGATGCTCTTTCGGCCAGAGTCCTTTTGATAGTCCACAAGTAATATACAACATTGTAGGTGATACCCTATTTTGCAAAGGATTTTGACAGAAGTAATCCCACTTAAGACAAGTCAGTGAAGTTAGCATGGCATTTATTACTAACTCCAGGTGAAGGACTGGCTCAAGGTGATGATGTGATTCACGTAGTTTAAAAACAACCAAGTATGGCTTTTTGCCTCCTGTTCAGCACACCTGCCACTGTCCTACAGCCTCCACTGTCCAGGCCCCTTCCTCTCTCCAAATGAGATAGCCCTTCACGTATTTCCCACACAACAGTAATACTGACCCTTCACTACGTCACCCAATGTTTGTGAAGAACAATAATTTGGCTCCACTCATCCCCCAAAGATAAAGCCCTGCTGCTGACATTGGCCATGGAGTCTGTCTGAAAGGGCAAGGGCAAGCTCCCCTGCCTCTATTACTTTTATTTCTAGAAAAGCATCTTGCTTAGGAAATAGCATACACCAATGTCGCTGAAAGAGACAAACACAAAGGAATTCAATGAAATCATATATGTGAGATTGTAAGAAGAAATTGTGTTTGATTCGCTAGCGCCTTGAGATTGGCTGTGTAGATCCGTAAGTGGGCCAGAGGGGTGGGGTGGAGGGCTGAGGACTCCTTCCAGCAAAAGGCATTTTAAGTCTTTTCACTGAGAGTCCTCTTAGCAAAAAATGCCTGAGAGGATTACACTCTAGTTAGTGAGGGGGGAGGGGTTCTTCTCTGGTCTTGCAATTATTCAGGCTAGAAGCCCATAGAGGCTTGGCCTCAAGGCATGGCTTCCAAGGTTGCCCTGAATATAGGTGAGGAAAGAATGCAAGATGTTGCAGGAGGCTTTTATACTTGGAGGTAGAACAGTTCACTATGTCTGTATCCCATTGGCCAAATCTTAGTCATGCGGCCGCATATCCCTAACTGCAAGGGAAGCTGGGAGATGTCCAGCGAAGGTGCCCAGTCTCTCTCCACAAGGAGCTAACCAATCTCTGCCACAGAATGATATCAAATATGATCTCTAGATGTTCTCATTATCTTTGGTTATTAGAACGGTTTGTGACCGGATCTTTCCCATCTCCCAGGACTTCCGGCTGTGATTGTGGCTATTGTCTTGGTGATATCCCCAGATAACTATGGGCTTGGATCCTATGGGAAGTTCCCCAATGGCTCACCTGATGACTTGTGAGTACAAAGCCTCCAAGGAGGAAATGGACTTCCTAATTGATCTAGTGAGTCAGGCTCGCACCGAATAAAGCCCAGTCCACTTCAGAGTCAAATGCAAGGAGATGAGCTAGGTGGAAATGGCACGCTACTACTTACAAACAACAACAAAACCCACTGCCATCAAATCGATCCTGGCTCACAGTGACCCGATAGGACAAAGTGGAACTGACCCTGTGGGTTTCTGGGATGGTAACTCTTGACAGAAGTAGAGAACCCCATCTTTCTCCAGAGGTGGTATCCACACTGAACTGCTGACCTTGCAGTTAGCAGCCTGCCATGTAACATACTAGGCCACCAGGTCTACTTTAAGCATTCCTTTTTAAAAAAAAATAGAAGAAATATTTTAACAGTAGTCTTAGAAGCTTCGGCTAAAAAATAAATGGAAGTTACCTGATATTTATAAAGACACGGAATAGTTACTAGGGTTTACAGGAGTCAAATCATGAATGCCTAAAAATATATATTATTTAATGACTTTCAATCACCAAGTACCCTAAATAAAGGCTCTCAGATGGGTTTTTTTTTTCTCCTTCGAGAAATTTTATCCATTAAAGGACAGAAATTTTATCCATTAAAAAGAAAAGAAATTGGAGGCACGGCTTCAGTAAAATGTGATAGATTTGTTGTATCACGCCAAATGCTACTTAAATACTGTTATCTGTTCATTTCTTCCCCTGTCCTCGTTCCAGTTGCTGGATCAACAACCATACAGTCTTCTACATTACCGTTGTGGGATACTTCTGTGTGGTATTTCTGCTCAACATCAGCATGTTCATTGTGGTCCTGGTCCAGCTCTGTCGAATTAAAAAGAAGAAGCAACTGGGGGCCCAGCGGAAAACCAGTATTCAAGACCTCAGGAGTGTAGCCGGCCTTACGTTTTTGCTGGGAATTACTTGGGGTTTTGCCTTCTTTGCCTGGGGACCCGTTAACATCACGTTCATGTACCTCTTTTCCATCTTTAATACCTTACAAGGTGAGCTCTCCAGCATTTAATAGGAGCTGAAGGATTCTAGTGATTAGGTGCTGTGTCAAGTTGATTCTGATTCATAGTGACCCCATGTGAACTGCCCCACAGGGTGTTCTTGGCTCTAACCTCTCTTGACTATAACCACCGGACCAGTCTCCCACAGAGCTACTGGGTGGGTTCAAACTACCAACCGTTTGGTTAGCAGTCAAGTGCTTACCCATGGCACCTCAGGGCTCTTTCTTGAGGGTTCTGTGTTGGTTGTTGTTGGGTTCTGACTCATAGCAACCCAATTCACAACAGCATGAATGCTGCTCAGCCGCACACCATCCTCACAGTCATGATTGCATTTGAGCCTATAGTTGCAGCTCCCATGGCAATCCGTCCCACTGAGGGCAGTGCTCTTTGTCACTGCCCCTTCATGTTGCCAAGCATGAAGTCCTTTTCTAAGGACTGGAGCATGCTGGCTATATGTCCTCCAAGACAGATTTGTATGTTCATTTGGAGTGCTTGATACTTTCATGATCTGTGTGAACTCTGCCAAGCCCACTGGCCTAGAGGTCCCCCAGGACTGTGGTCTTCAGCCCTCGAGCCCAGTGACTCCGTCTCCCAAGGCTGTGACTCAGTTTGCATAGCTTTACCTCCTTATGCTCTATTACATACCTACATATATTTGCACACATATGTACACATGGAAATATCCTCTGCCAAACCTCTGCCATTTCGTGCCTAGTTAGCTTACATGTCTGCCTATGGATCCTCTTGCAGAGGATTATTTATTATGACATTTAATGCAGGATTTTGTGCATCGTAGTATTTTCTTTTGCTGCCTTTCATCTTGCGCGCTCCCAGTGTCTTCCTTTGCCTTGGTCATGTTGTTCTGTCCTCCCCGTGATTGCGCACTTACTTTCCTACACCCAAGTTAATGCACGTCTTCTTTCTAGTTAGTGAGTTTCCCTCCCTCCCAGTCCCATGTTATGAGGTGTTTTGCAGATTTATCACCATTCTTTAATGTGTACTATTCTGCTGTGGTTCCGTTTTAATGGCAGCGCTTGAGCAGTAGCAGCTGAGCAGGCTAATAAAACCCACTGCCATCGAGTTGCTTCTGACTCACAGTGACTCTGTAGAACAGGGCAGAACTGCCTCTGTCAGTTTCCAAGATTGTAACTCTTTATGGGAGAGAGAGCCTCATAGTTCTCTCCCAGAGTGGCTGCTGCCTTCAAACTGTGGACCTTATGGTTAGCAGCCTGACCCATAGTCACGAAGCTACCAGGGCTCCTTGAGCAGGCAAATAAGTTTATATTAGAAAATCAATTCACTGTCCCCTGATTTCACATCCTCTGTTGGGGTACCTTTTAATTGTGTTTTCTGCTCTTTCTCCCCATCTTTTCTTCTTATTACTGTTAGTTCCTGGAGTGGCCTCTTGTCATACTGTCAAGCAAGAGATCATTTTGCTGGTTTTGCAAGCAAACCCAACCAGAGATAAAAATTAAATTCATAATTTGGCCATGAGTTCTTATCTTTGGAGGGGGCCAGGTAGTAGGCTTATAGGTAATATGTGGCTGTAAGTTTTTACTTACAACACGATCAGTGTGCCCAGGTCTTATAGCACTGTTCTCATAGGATCGAAAACAAAATCAGAAAAAATCAGCAAATCACTTTTTAGGCTTTCCAGTAAAGGTTTAATAGGCCAACAATGTTGTTGTTGCGCTCCATTGAGCCTGTGCCACTTCATAATGACCCTGGTAGAAAGGGTCAAGTGCCCTCAGAGGGTCTCCTAGGCTCTCGGATTGATCTTCACAGAAGCAAACCGCCACCTCTTTCTCCCCTGGAGCAGCTGGTGGGTTCCCGTAGCCAACCTGACAGCTGCCAAATGTTTAACCATCGTGCCACCATTGTGCACAAACAAACATGGTGCTTCCTTGTGACAACACAAGCATGTGAAATGTAATGCACACTTTCAAAGAAAAAGAAGGTGACTTATAATCACACGAGTCAGAAACATGGAAGGTAGAAGCCAAACCTACCTCCTTTTCTTTATTTCTCTCCAATTTATTATTCTATCCACCCACCCCTGAAAACATCGTCTCATTAGAATGTGAGTATAAAATGGGAACTCAGTGTTTCATCTATATAAAAGAGACGAATGTCTAATTCCTAAGGCCTTGGGATTGAAAATAAGTTGACACAATGGTTGAAACAACAGACTCAAATGTGTTGTTGTTGTTGTTGTTGTTGTTAGCTGCCACTGAGTTGATTTCAACTCAGAGTGATTCTATGTGACAGTGTAAAACTGTCCCCCTGGAGTTTTCTTGGCTGTCATCCATATGGAACTAGATCACTTGGGTGGGTTCAAACCCCCCAGCCTTTGGGTTAGCAGCCTAGCACTTAGCAGTTTATGCCACCAGGGCTCCTTAGACTCAAACATAGCAATGATTGTGAAGAAGGCACCAAGATGGGACAACATTCTGTTCTTTGTATATAAGGTTGCCATGCGTCAGAAGTGAGTCGACAATAACTAACAATGACAATCTGGATCCATTCTGAGGTCAGAATAGTGTATCCTCATTTTTATCTCTTTCCTACATGCTCCTCTTCCCTTAACGCCCCCAAGGGTAGCCTCCTAGAGTAGCCAATAAACACAGAGAGGGTATAGGTAATATGTCAGTCTTTGGGGTGGGCCCATGTAGCCTCCTAAACTTGATGTTTGAAAGTGCGGATAGGAAGTTCAGAAGTGTTGGGGGTCGAGAGAAAATATTCATTGGCAAAAGCCTGGTATAGCGACACAGATGGGACTATGGGAGGAGCCCTGAGGCACAGAGTTGAAGACAGAAGTGGGAGATTGGTGGCGCAACAGTGCCCTCTGTGAGTCTGGAGTATTCATCTCTGTATGCCAAGGTGCCAGTGAGAACTTCTGCAAGCAGGTCTGGGCAGGAGATGGTGGGTGACAGGAGGCACAGGAACAGATTGATGGAGTAGGCTATACCAGGGCAGTTAAGCTCACACAAGGGACATGGCCGTTGGCCTGGACAGGCAGTGAGAAGTGTGTGATGACTGAGGAGATGGCATTTGACAGAACTTGGAGATGGAGAGGGGGCCACCTAGGTCACCTTGGGCTCCTGGGTAGAGGGATGATTTGCATTTCCAAGAGGGGGAATATAAAACAAGGACAGAACATGAGAGGAGAGCTGGTGAAGTTTAAGTTAGGAAGTAGAATGTTACTCCTTTTCTTAAGCGCATGTACACACACACACACACACACACACACACACACACAATGGCATTGAGTTGATGCCAACTCATAGCGACCCTGTAGGACAAAGTAGAACTTCCCCAGGGGGTTTTCAAGACTGTAACTCTTTATGGAAGTAGAAAGCCTCCTCTTTCTCCCAAGGAGAGACTGGTGGTTGCGAACTGCTGACCCTGTGGTTAGCAGCCCAACAAGTAACCACTATGCAACCAGGGCTCCTTCAGTCCTTTTCCAAGTAGGCTTTATCTTACCAAGACAGAGTCCCCCTAGGATGCCTTTCCATAGTAAGCTTTCCCACAGCTTTGGATGTCTTATTCAATTAGCAGGAGTCCTTAGGTAATGCTAGTGTTTAATGTAATCAGCTACTTGCTATCTGAAAGGTTGGAGGTTCAAGTCCACAAAGAGGCACCACACTCAGAAGAGTCTCCAGTGACCTCTTTCTGAAAAATCAACTGGTAGAAACACTGTAGAGTGCAGTTCGATGCTGACACATGAGGAGTCCGAATGATTTATTCCATGTGCAGGAGGGCACTTTGGCCACAGCTGCCACAGAATATTTTGTAAAGTCAGTTCATGGGCATCCAGGTGTAAACTGGGAATTCATTGTGTTATGTTTTTGTTTTGTTTTCCCCCCTTAGGATTTTTCATATTCATCTTTTACTGCGTAGCGAAAGAGAATGTCCGGAAACAGTGGAGGCGCTATCTTTGTTGTGGAAAGCTGCGGCTGGCTGAAAATTCTGGTAAAGAATTACCTTATTTCCCCCCTCTCCTCTTATATCTTAAAGTAAAGGTTATGTGGATCAAGGTCCCAAGCAGTCGTTGCCCAAGGGCCCTCCAATCCAGACCTCTCTGAACGGCACCTTCTCAACAGAAAAGATTGGTTCTGAGCATGATTTCAAAACAAAAATCAAGGGAGCTAGGGAATCTGGGAATCTCAAGAGCAGTAGAGTTAGCAGGACGACTGCTTCTTGCATGAAGCAACAGGGGAATGTTTAGACTCGATTTCCTCTGCGGCTCATGCTTGTCATTTACCCAAATCATTTTGAATATTCACCTGTATGGTGAATATTCACCTGTATGGCTTGTAAAGTCTGGACTCCACAGGTTCTGGGTGCTAGTTGCTTAGTCTATCAGGGGGCAGGACTTTGTGTCTCAGCTTTAGCACATGGTGGGTTCTTCTGAAGTTATTTGCCCTAGTGTCACAAACAGCTCCGTTTTAAGAAAATAGGAAAGAGGAAACCATGTTTGAAAAGTTTAAATTCGTTTTGCATCAATTAAAAAAAATTAAAAGTTGGAGTTGACTTGCTTCTGACCCAAGGGGATCCCATGTGTGTCTGTAGAATTGTGCTCCAGAGGGTTTTTAGGGGTTGCCTGTGTGTGTGTGTGTGTGTGCGCGCGCGCGCGCGCGCAGGTAGCCAGACCTTTCTTCCAAGTGGCTTCAGGGTAGACTCCCAACTTCCAACCTTTCAGTTAGCAGCCACATATAGTAACAGTTTGTCCCACCTAGGGAACTAATTTACATCAGTCCCACATCGCCGTTGCGGGATCTGGGGGAGACAAGAGTCCGCACTCAGAAAGTAAGAGCGCAGAGCTCGGTCCTTTCTGTGGACTGAAGAACCGTCAGTCGTTTTGTGTTCTAAGCCAGGCAGTCAGTGCGTCTGAGTTACTGCCTTATCCAAGGACTTCCTAGACGTAATCCAATTAGCTTAGCTTTTAGTTCCAGGCGCATATACATGGCTTTAAGGAGTGCCGGTGGTGTAGTGGGCTGCTAACCTCAAGGTCAGCAGTTCAGAACCACCAGCTGCTCTGCAGGAGGAAGACAAGGCTTTCTACTCCTGTAAACAATTAAAATGTAAGGAACTGATGGGGCTAACCTGCTCTCTAGGGTCTCTATGAGTGGTATCGACTAGATTTCAGGGAGATATTTTGTGTTTTCAATAGATGGCTTTGTATTCTTTGAAAGGAAAAATGGATAGTTGCCTTCAAGTAAAATACATTTGATCCCACCAGCTTGCAAAATGCATGACTTCTCTGAGGCCTTGGAGTGAGAAAGTAGTTGCTAGAACTTGTTACACTGATCTGTCTCTTGCATTTAAGCTTCAACATACTGCTCTGTTTTTCTGTAATGCTTATTCTGCTATAGACTGGAGTAAAACTGCTACTAATGGTTTAAAGAAGCAGACTGTAAACCAAGGAGTGTCCAGTTCTTCAAATTCCTTACAGTCAAACAGTAACTCCACTAACTCCACCACACTGCTAGTGAATAATGATTGCTCAGTGCACGTAGACGGGAATGGTACGTATGTCTCAATATAGTATGTCTCTAGCGAGTGTTTTGTTTTGTTTTGTTTTGTTTTGTTTTGTTTTGTTTTGTTTTCAAGCAGTTGCCTCCATGAATGACTCCCACCCCCACCCCCCCTCAAAAACCAAGGGAAGCAAATGGAAGCTGAATGGATCACAGCGTGGCTCCTTTCTCAAAGAGAACATGGATTAGTCCAAATGAATGAATTTGTTTCAGAGCAAATACCAGAACAACTTCTTTTTTTTAAGAGTTCCTTTTTTTATGAGGGGACATGATGACGTTCTGCAAGATTTAAATCGAGGTCTGGCCCAAAGGCCTCAGTACTGCGCTGCCTCTCGGACAGCCGTGCCTAACGCGATAAGCGTGTGAGAGGACATTGAGATGAGTCACAGCTAGCATCACGTGCATCTTCGACACGCTTAAGCCTGTCTATTTGTCCCTTGTCATGTCTGTTCATCCTTTCCCTCACTGGTCACAATGCCCCCAATCCCCACGAATAGACATGATTTGTGACCACCTATGTTGGTTGGCATGTAGGTCACTTGCATGTAAAAGAATGGCGGCTGAGCCTTCTTGCTTGAATTCTGACATTTCAAGCTGAACCATTCATGCCTCTCCCCCTACCCTGCCCTCTTTCCTCCAACTGGGGCTGTTGATTGCTCACAAAGCTTCATCATACCTAGCTTTACCTTCTTTTGCTTTTTAATATACCATATATACTCGAGTATAAGCTGACCCAAATATCAGCCGAGGCACCTAATTTTACCACAAAAACTGCATTAAAAAATGTGCTGAGAAACTCAGCTTATACACGAGTATATTCGGTATCTTTTACATTTTCCTAGATTTTTCTATTTTGCTCATTTGCTTTCTCCTTCTCTGGAGAATATAATCATACCTGCCTTTCTTGATTGTATTAGGAGGGTAGTTCTTTTAGTGACTAATTCAAATCAAGCTTCTGAGGTGGTCTAGGCTTCTATCTACCACATCGTCTTCTAATTGCCCAGAGGTGGGAGGGCCTACTGGTCTGTATAAATGTATGAAATATAATAGGCAGCTGTTCAAACAGGCTTTTGTTCTCAACCTCAGCTCTAGGGACATTTGGTCTGGCTAATTCTCTGTTGTGAAGGACTGTCCTGTGCTTTGTAGGATCGTTAGCGATACCCTGGCTTCTACCCACGACCAATTGTTTCTCCTCCCCACCCTCAGTTATGACAACCCAAAATGTCTCCCACTCACACACTGCCAAATAACCCGCCCTAGGCTTTCTGAGACTGTAAATCTTTATGGGAGCAGACAGTTTCATTTGTCTCTTATAGAGGGGCTGGGGGCTCAAACCACCAACCTTGGAGTTAGCAGCCCAATACCTACCCCACAGCACCATGAGGGCTTCTAAGAAAAGTCTCCGAACTCACTGCTATCAAGTGGATTCTGACCCATAGCCAGGATTTCTGAGGCTTTATCAATCTTTATGGGAGCAGGCTTTTTTTTTCCTCATGGCTCATGGGTTTGAACCACAAAGCTTGCAGCTAGCAGGCCAATGTCAATTGTCTAACCCACAGTGCCACTGAGGCTCCTTAAAAATGTCTCCAGACACTGCCAAAATGTCCCCTGTGGGTAAAATTGCCTCTGGTTGAGAACTGCTGTCCTAAAGGACAAGAAGTGGCTGCCACCACAGCCTCGTATTATTATGAGAGATACTAAAGGAAGAGCTTTAAAAAAGCTTCTCTCAGGACTGCAGGCGGCCAAACTAGAGGAGATGGGAATCCAGGCTGGTTAAGGAGCGAATTCAACATAGAGAAACCAGAGGAACAGGGTGGGTCAACAAGAATCCTTGCACTCACAACCTGTTAGCAAGCCCATTGGCCTGGATAAAAAGGCTTTGGGCTTTTAATCCATTAACCAGAGTTGTCTGGATTCTATAAAGAGCTCACAGATGAGGCCTCGCCCACTTGCCTGGACTAATCAGGGTGTTGTCATCCTTCCGGGAGAAGGATTTAATCGAAGTGACACATGTTGACATGCTATTTGATAAAACTTACTTGACACCACGATTTGTGATACGTGGCAATGAGCAGGAGATAGATTTTAGGGCCGCCAAAAGGCCAAATAGCTAATACCATATCCACTGGACATTCTTGGCTCCTTGGTCCCCTTTGAGATGGGTGAGGGCTGGAATAGGGTGATGATAATCTATCCCCCACAAGACTTAGTAATTTCCCCAAAGCAGCTGGAAATGTATTTTGTTTATGATGCTCGTTTAAATATACTGCAGAAACAGGGCCAAAATGACCAAATCAGGAGAGTTGCCTCCAAAAATCATAGGCCCTATTTGAGCTGTGTCAGAAACATTCCATGTTGTTCCGATCACTTGGACGTAACCTTGGACAAAGCATCGAACTTTGAAAAAATCCCTTCAGCATCTCTGCAATGGGGACTCTACAAGTATCCACCCCATAGGGTTATAAGTGAGATCATATATATATAGCATTATAGCATTGAGATATATATATATATATATATAGCATTATAGCATTAAGACAAAGATAAAAAGCTGAATAAGTAGTCCATTTGTTGGTTTATGACTTAACCCTATCCTATAATGGTCAGACAGATATCAATAGGCAGCTGTAGGACGACTGGAGCTGGTGTTGTTGATAGGTGCTACTTATCGTGGACGTTCCTCTTTGTCAGTACCCCGCTACTTTACCAAGCACAATGTCCTTTTCCAGGGACTGACATGTCCAAAGTATATAAGATGAAGTGTCACCATTTTGCCTGTGAGGATCATTCTGGCTATACTTCTGCCAAGACATTTCTGTTTGTCCTTTTGGCAGCCCATGGTACCTTCAATATTCTTTGCCAGCACCATCATTCAAATGCACTGATTCTTCTTCAGTTTTCCTGATTCAATATCCAACTTTCACACGCATAGGAGGCAATGGAAAATACCATGGCTTGGGTCAGGTGCACCCAAGTCCTAAGAATTATATCCCTGTACTTTTCAATACTCTAAAGGAGTCTGGTGCAACAGATGCCGATGGATAAATCTGCTGGAGCTGTGTTTTCCTACAACTTATGGCGTGCTTGGGGTGAAGGAGGCTTAGCGTTATCCCACAGTTGCCCAAGAAGGCCCAGTTCCCCTGGCCTCCTCTCCATTTAGAATTGGTGCTTTCCTCTTGGGGATCAGTCACAGCCTGCTTTAGTCAGTGGGGGCTGGTTTCATCTAGGAAAGAGATGATTTCTTCTTCTCTTGGCTCCTGTAGCTGGTCACTCTAGTTTTATCTCATACAAAGTTTGGTTTGATAGGAATCACCAAGAGCCAAGAACCTTGGAAGGGAGGCTATGCATGAGAACCTTTGCTAACCTGAACCTTTGGGGGACACCAAACGCTTACCTTAGGTTATATTACATCTATGCTACTTCTTAAAGCCAATCTTTGCCCAGTCAGCATTGGCAAATGAACCTTTTCCGAACAAAGTACTGTATATAAGCCAACCCAAATATCAGCTGAGGCACCTAATTTTACCACAAAAGCTGCATTAAAATGTGCTGAAAAAACTCAGCTTATACACGAGTATATATGGTATATTGCCTCCCTAGATGCAGTATCCATTTCATAAGCATGAAACAAAACCAAAACTGCCAGAGTGAACAGGGTTCTGAGCCAATCTCTGATTTGTTTTGATTCCTTGGAGAAAAGTAAACATGACAGTGAATCATAGATCATTTCTAACCAGGTGTGTTTTTAACGCATGCATATTGAAGAATAAAGTGATTTTCAAGTTTAGTTAGTTCCTTACACACACACCCCTCCATGGGTTCCTCATGACACCAATTTGGTTTTACCTTTTACAGGGAATGCTTCTACGGAGAAGAACGGTGTTTCTTTCAGTGTTCAGAATGGAGACGTGTGCCTTCATGATTTCTCTGCGAAACAGCACGTGCTTAATGAGAAAGAAGACCTGTGCAATGGGAAAAACCGTATCGCTCTCAGAAGGACTTCAAAGCGGGGAAGCTTACATTTTATTGAACAAATGTGATCCCTCTTTCTAAAATCAAAGCATGATTCTTGACCATGTGGAAATGACCATTTTTACCTTGTACGCAATGTGAGCTGTAGAAAAACCACCTTCTTTTATACTCAACAACCTTGGGAAGCGCATATGTTCATTGAGGGTAGTTGTCGCTGTGGGAAGACATTACATTGGCAATGTGGGTCCTTATCCTTTGTTTTAAACAACACACCAAGAATAAGATGCATGTAGGGAACAAAGTAGGTAATTGCCAGACACATGTGCCAGAGGCTGAGTTATCTCTGAAAGCATCCTAGAAGCCACCTGTGACTTCAGCCTATTGGTGAGTTTAGTTGTGCACGCTCTTGTTGTATTATGAACTCAAGTCTAGTGACCTACGTGTCCAAAAAACATCTTCTCCCTTAAAAAATATTTATTTTCTACTGGGTAAATTTATTCTTGTATAGAATTGTGGTTGTATTATTTTGTTTAATGTGAGAATTCGGAGAAATTTTCCTGGTTCAGTGAATTCTAAAACCCCATAGGGAGATAACATGGGATGTGAAATACAGAAACTTCACTGACTTTTATTCAAAAGAACATTGCTTGCCAGACTGAACCAGGTCAACAGACAGTGCCCCAATTGGCCCTACGCTGAGTGCTTTCGGATAGTTAGAAAAGATACCCCTAGTGCGTGGACACAGTCCCCAAGGCTGGAGGCTTGCCAAACAGTGGGGCTGGATTTGAGCCCACTGACCCCTTGGGTGTGTATCCTGGTGCAGGGTACAACTGTGTATACCACCCAATATTAGTATCCAGTCCCGACTGCATCCCTTATTACCCTATTAGGGATTTTTGTGCCACAAATTGGCGGGGCAATCTAGCCCCTATGTCAGGAAAATTGTGACAGTGGACGAGATACATACACTGCCACTTCTGAAATTCTCAGTCTCCCAGAAGATGGTAAAAGAGGAAAGTGACTTTTGAAAAGAGATGCATATTAGGGGGGAAATTGTCTCGCTGTTCTTTAAGAGTAAGGCAACTGCATGAGACTTTGTTCGTGGTTAGGCCTGCCACATTTTGGCCTAACCAGAGCTATAATTATTTTGTCCCAAACATGTCAAGTTCGGAAGAGTGTAAGGACCAGAGAGAACAGCTGCCGGGGACAGTGAACTCTCCTACAATGCTGTAGTTTCTATTTGTATCCCACCCTGGTTGCTTCTAGTGACATAGGATCTGTCTCTGAGCACTGCCTCAGTGCATCCTTCTTAGGGACATTTCCAAACCCTTTAGGTCTTTCACTAAGGTTTTCATGCATATACTTCAAATGAATGTTGTAGCCCCAACTAATCATAATCATAACGGACTACATGTCTGTGAGTGCTGATTTACCTTTGCAATCTTTCCCTGAGATTTATTTAATTGTATTTATATGTTAAAATTACCCCCAAATGTTAAAATCGACCGAAAAATGTTTAAAAAAAAAAACTTAACAAAAAAATGGTAAAAAACAAAAAAATCTTAACCAAAAAATGTTAAAAATCAACAAATATCTTAACATTGATAAAAAATGTTACAATCAACCAAATAAATTTGTAGTTGAGTACATTTCATAACTTTCGCAAAGAAAAATTTTTGTGTTTTGTTTCTTGAGCACTGTGGCATGGGGGAAGTAACATCTTATGGGGGAACAGCAGGTACATGTTGAAATTAGCAAAATTTCTGCTTCATGAGACCACTTTCTCCAAGTTGCACTTCCTCAACTTCTACTTCTGGGTCAGCCCTCCTAGTTTGCATTTCTTTGGAGCTAATCTCTCTACCTCCAGCACTGGCTTGCTTGATTGTTTTACAATCTCTGGTCTTTCTTACACTAAATTCTAAAAGAGGAGCAGATGATTTTACTATGTCCTCTTCTGACTCAGTTTTTTCAATTCTGCCTAAAATCTTCTCATTTGCGCCATTCTGCCTGCTTCTCACCTGATTTAAGTTTGCGTATCTTAGATGTTCCTCATTACTTTGCCGGTCCTGTTTCTCTGCTTTCTCTACCTTTGAAAGCAAGGGAGCTTCCTGGGCTTGCTTAATAGCCTCGCTTTTCTTGGAATTCGTTGCCTCTCCTACTTTATCACCTTTAAACCTTCTGAGGCTGCAGTCCCCCTAGGGCATATAGGCTTTGGCCTTGAGGTTTCTTTTAGAATCAGAGGCCTTAGAAAATAAATCAATCCCTGCTTTTTCAGTTTCTCCTAAAATTTCATCACCTAACTCACACTCATTCATAGACACTTTAGCTTGCTTTTCTAGATTAGGATCGCTCACACAAGACTTCTCACTAGACTGATAATCTTCACTCTCTTCCTCCTGCAAAAGTCTTAAAACCATCTTAACTTGAACCCACAGAGACCACGTCTCCATAGGGATACTCTCCCCATCTCTGTGTGCCTTCTTTAAGTTAACAATGACCTCCTCCCGGGTCTCTAGATTGAAAGTTCCTTCCTCCGGGAACCATGGATTATACCTTTTTACTACTTTTAGAAAACAGTGCATCTTTTCCTTCGTTACTTTTACACTCTGTCTTTTCAGTAAGTAGATGAGCTTAGTACCATACGTTTCAGGTTTACTTTTACCTTGCCCCATTGTTCTCTTTAAAATACTCATTCACTATTCCGACTACTTATCCACCAATCCCCACACCGGATCCTCACTTCACACAATTTTCCGATTCAATCTACATTCCGGTGGGGCCATACAATTGTTACACGGGACATATAACTCATTGCCACGCATTGGGTGCCATTTGTGTAGTATTAAATTAAAAAAATAAAGATGCTGATGGAGGGGGGGGACCAGCCCCCACCGCTAATACTCCTATTGCTACTACTCGGATTCATTAATACTACCTCTGGGTTCAGTAATGCACAATTGTACGGTTGAAATATATAAGCATTATATTAAAGTCATTGAGAGCATGAGAGATAATACAATAATACAGTCAGGCATGTTACATAGTACCATTGCTCACCTCAGCCCAGCTTGGTGGTCCACGTGGAGAGAGGAGGAAGGGAAGGAGGGGAAGGGAACAAGGGAGAGGGGGAAGAGTCAGGGAGGTCAGAGTCTGAGAGAGAAGTTAGTCCCTCTATATTGCTGACCCATGCCTATATACCTTTTGGGGGTATGCCAGCCCACTAATTACAGGTAGAGACATATGGCACAGGAAGGGGCTGCACTATAGGCTACACAGTAATGAGAGGATGGGCTAGGGGGTGGTCTCTGGGTTTCTATAGGAACCCTTATCAGTAGGGTGCAAACCCCTCCTACAGGAACCAAGCTAATGGCCTTAGACTCCAGAGAGAGGTAGTCCATTGTCTCCAGCAGCAGGGAGCAGGCCCAGCCCTGCTGTGGGATGAGACAGCAGTCTGGCAGCAAGTACCTGACTTCCCCCCACATCTTTCCATGATTGATTCCTTTAACATGCTGTCACTGACCTCCATGAGGCCTGATCCTGAATGCCCTCCACATTCCTGTTTCCTTAGCATCAAACAGCAGGATTTCAAGATGGTGAGCAAGGCATTGGGGGTGTCTGAGAAGCTTGCAAGGTCAGCAGTTTGAAACTACCAGCTGCTCTGCAGAAGAAAGATGAGGCTTTCTACTCCCGTAAAGAATTACAGATTTGGAAATCCATTGGGGCAGTTCTACCATGTCCTATGGGTTGCTATGAATCAGAATCAATGCAACAGCAGTGAGTTTAAAGTTTGGAGTTAGTATGTGGGAGGCATGAATAGGAAAAGCTGGCCTCACCCCAACTCACTGGCCCTCTACAGTCTTTTCTTCTAAGATCCTCAACCACTACAAAGTCACTGAGTGGTAAAGAAGGTATAAGACACTTAAGTTTTAGGAGTGAGACTTTTTATGTCCTTTACACCCTTCCCCCCACTAATCCTATTGAGTTCTCTTTCCCCCTACATTTATTGATTGTCATTGTTGAGCATATATATAGTACACCAATTCCATCATTTCTACATGTACAATTCAGTGACATTGATTACACTCCTTGAGTTGTGCAACCATGTTCACTGTCCTTTTCTGAGTTATTCCTCCCCCATAAGCTCACTGCCCCCTGAGGTTCCTGCCTAATCTTTTGAGGTGCTGTTGTCACTGTGATTCCATATAGACAGTTCTTAAAAGAGCATAATGCTCAAGGCAGGCATTTTTATTATTTAAACTACTGTTTGGTTTTAAGAGGACTTTAAGGGAATATATATATTGGTTTAAGGTTTCGAAATTATTTTTGTACAATATTTTCTGGGGTGTATTAGGCCAGGTTGACCAGAGAAATAACTCCAGAGACACTAATAAATTTGTAAGAGAGAGCTTTATATAAAAGGGCAATTGTATATTGAGAAAACATCCCAGCCCAGTCCAGATCAAGTCCATATGTCTGATATTAGCCCGTAAGTCTGAAACTAGTCCATAAAGCCCTCTTCAGACTCACACAGTCACATGCAATGATGAAAAATGCAAGAAGATCACAGGCCAGTGGGTGCAAAGTCTTGTGGATCTAATACCGGTAGAAGCATCTCAGTGCTGGCCCGGGTCTCCACATGTCTCCTTCAGCTCTCCAAGTGTGGCTCTTTAACAAGAAGATGAAGTACAAAAAGAGGCTCTCACAGATCTCAGCAAGTCTCTGCGTGACTTATTAACAGGAAGACCAAGGCAGAGAGAGAGAGAGAGAGGAAGTTCCCAGAATCCTTAGGAGAAGGCCATACCCACAAGAAGGCATCATCAGGCTATGACCTGATTGACAAGCTAGACTCCACCCCTACACTTATTTATCAAGTTGACATGAAGTTATGTAACTACCACAGACCACCCCTTGTCAACTTGACACCTTTACACAACTCTTTAGCTAATCATACATATTTTTTAAACAAAACAATAATAAAATCATATCTGTGCCAAACAGGATAAAACTAAAATGCGTATAATTTAAAATGTGCCAGATGTATTTAAATATAATATTCTATAAGTGAACAAAACAAAAATATTCTATACCTAACAATTGCAGTTATGTGAACACCTATACCTTAATCCTATAATCCTATCAACATTTTCCCCTACTCACGAAAGTTGGTAAGTCAGCTACTTCATGCCTTTATCCTCCTCATTTTGAGTATCCAATTTCTATACTGCCCACTTATATCAACCCAGTACTCTGAGATAACAAGTATGTTCTTTGATGTGAAGAATCTTCATTCCAGTTGGAAACTTGTAAGTCTGTATCCATAACCAAAGTCAAATCAGGACAGGCCATCTATAAAGTCAACAGCAATATGCACCATTTTACAACCTCAAAAATCTTTTCATCTGGTCTGGTTCTGGTCAACTCAATGTGGGACATTGCCTCACCTAGCCTCACCAGAGTGCCCATTGGTTGCCTCACCTTTAGACATGGGCCCCATCACAAATTCTCAACAACCCCAGCCCCCTTGGCTAGGTCATGAACTTCAGACCAGTCAATCTGCTCTCGTCTTCTCCTCTAGTCCCTGTGAATCAGGTCCATGGGTGTCTGTGGTCATATTCAACCCGCCTCTTTATGGCTGCATTTCTTCCACTTCCACTAAACAGGAAGATCCAGGTGGTCACCTAGCAGGCATTTCAGGCTGCCTACAGGCTCCCTTTAACATTCAGTCCTAGACAGGAGGGTTCCTTCATGGCTCCAAATTTTCCAGCTTTAGGCCCAAGCTACTAGTTCAAAATTCAAAAAGGCCAAGTTCTATTTATTTTCTTCAGTCTGTTAACAGCAAGCTTTGCCACTCAGCAAGTGTTCTCAAATGCAAATATTCTAAGCACTCACAGCACTGGGTGGGGCTTATCCTTTCAGAGCCTTCTTTGCAGACAGGCTTTCCAAACCCATTTAAAGATCCAATTTAATGTCTAAAGCCAAGTGGGCTTAAAACTCTATTTTCATACTTCCCAATAATTATTTCTATCAATAACAGTAAGCAGAAGAAATCAATATAAACATAGTAGTGTCTGATCCTAAACACCTTCTTAAAACAGTCAAATTCAATCATTATCTAAACTATCTTCTCTAAACTATACTTTCTTAGCTAAACCATTATTTGCAATATAGCCTTAGGCCTCTGATTGTATCAAGCCAGAGTGGGACCTTCTGTCAGCCATTTTGACCTTCTCTCAGCCACTTTGACTAAGCAGCATGATCTCAGAGGAAAAGTTCAGGGGGCTATTTTGTCCCCTAAGCTCAAAATTTACATTAATCACATTCATTTTCACCATTTCAAATGGGAATAACCAACGAAAATAATCAAAACTTTAACTTCCCATGTTCTTTCTAGAAAACAAACAATTAAACTGCATGACTATATATGACCTCCAGCTAGTCAAAGAAGAAAGAGTGCCATGAGGGCAGAGGTCAGACAAGCTTCTACTCTCCATCTTCATGATTCATTTCTCTAGTACCCCACTCCCAAGGTACCATAATGTGTTAGGCCGGGTTGACTAGAGAAACAAATCCAGAGACACTAATATAAGTGTAAGAGAGAACTTTATATAAAAGAGCAATTGCATATTGAGAACATCCTAGCCCAGTCCAGATCAAGTCCATAAGTCAAATATTAGCCCAGAAGTCCAACACTAGTTGGAAATTTTGAAATTATATAACCACCACAAGGGGATCCTCCAGCCTAAGTCTAAGCATTTGGAATTCTGCAGTTTTAATCCATGAGTATTTGAAAAATAGCATTTCCCCTGCTTTGATCAGGATTCTTCAATAGCATCTTTGATCAAAATGTTTAGTGATGTTTGTGTCTTAGGTGGTGATCTTTAAGCCAAACTCTCTTGTCCAAGAGAAAGAGAAGGCTTTCAACTCATATAGAGTTACAGTCTCAGAGACCCACAGGAGCAGTGCTATGCTGTCACTCTAAGTCAGAATCAACTCAATGGCAGTCAGTGAGTAGTTGTTTTTTTAATTTCAGAAAGATGAGCAAGGTAGAGAGAACAAGATGTTCCTGAGAAGCATCCTCCTTTGAATCTAAAACTGGTTCAATAATCTGTGCCTCTAGTATAAGGAGATGGAAGTAGTGCCAATATTAGGAAGCAAGGAATGTTAGAGCCATGGCCCGTGTATGATAAAACAATGTTCCTCAATAAATTGGGAGAGTTTTTGATACACTGTAATCATTAACCCCACAAAGGAACCCTAGTAACTCCAGTTAGCAGCATCAAGCTTATTCTCATTAAGAATGGTGAAGGAGCTTCATTTGAGATATATCTAGTGAGGCTAGATATCTGGGCTATATCTAGTGAGGACATCTAAGAAGCAGCTCCCTTTGCCGAAGGCCACTTCAGCCAATGACTAATCTCCAAATGAATTTGTTTGGTATCATTTTGTCTGCCTAACAATTTTTCCCTCGGTTTTTTGTCTTTAACTAGTTTTATTGGCATATACTTTTCATATCATAACAATTTAATCATTCACTCATATTAAGAACTGGGCAATCATCACCACAATCAATTTCAGAACATTTTCTTCTCATACTCATTGTTGTTTGGTCCCCATCCCCCACCCCCTTCCTACCCTGCCATGCTCCTAGGTAATTATTAATTCAATGACTAACTCTATAGATTTGCCCATTGTGTTAGACCAGGTTGACGAGATAAGCAAATCCAGAGACACTCATGTAAGTGTAAGAGAGAGCTTTAATATAAAAGAGTAATTGTATATTGAGAAAACATCCCAGCCCAGTCCAGATCAAGTCTATAAGTCTGATATGAGCCCATAAATGTGAGGCCAATAATCCATAAATTCCTCTTCAGACTCACACAGTCACATGCAATGATGCAAACTGCAAAAAGACCACAGGCCAGTGGGTGCAAAGTCTTGTGGATCCAGTGCTGGTGGAAGCATCTCCAGTGCTCTCACAGGTCTCAGCGTGGCCCTACGTGGCTTGTCAATATTAAGGTGAAGCAGAGAAAGAAGGAGGCCAGCTTCCAGAGAGCCATTTATCTCAGTCACCCTCCAATCAAGCTGAGACCTGGTTGACAGACTAAACTCCACCCCTTCACTCTTAATACCCTCAAATTGACATGAGATTATGTCACTACCACACCCATCCTGGATTTCAAATACAGAAAATCATACAAAACACAATGTTTTCAGGTCCATTTTGTTTGTCTCTGGTGCCTTAGTGGTTAAGCATTGGGCTGCGATTTGAAAGGTCAGTAATTCAAAATCACAAATTGTTCCTCAGAAAATAGACTGAGGTTTCTACTCATAAAGAGTTACAGTCTTAAAAACCCACAGCGGCAGTTCAACCCTGTCCTGTAGGATGACTATGAGTCTGCATCAACTCACTGGCAGTGAGTCTGCTTTTACAGGGGCTCCAGTTTGTCTTTGTTTCATCTTCTCACCGTGCTGTGAGTTGAAGTTTGAAGGACAAAAAAGAGCTGAGGGAAAAGAGAGAGACTGAAGGGGTGTGTCCTTGTGTGTTGTGGAGTCAATTCCAACTCATGGCGACAAAAAGGGACAGAGTAGAGCAGCCCCCAAAGAACATATTCTTGATGTGAAGAATTATCATCAGTATATTCTTTTGTTTTTTTCTCCTCAGTCTCTAAGATATAGTATCAAGAAATTGGGGCTTTTTTTCTTCTCCCTTCCCAGCCCTGTTGGCGGCTGCTCTTGGTTGGGAGCCGTCCCGCACCTAATACAGGAAGATGGTGGCTGCAAAGAAGACGAAAAAGTCGCTGGGGTTCATCAGTTCGAGGCTCCAACTCATTATAAAAAGTGGGAAGTACATGCTGGGCTACAAGCAGACACTGAAGGAAATAGAAATCCAGTACTACGCCATGTTGGCCAAAACTGGTGTCCATCACTCCAGCGGCCACAATATTGAGTTGGGCACAGCGTGCAGCAAGTACTACAGGGTGTGCACGCTGGCCATCCTGGACCACGGTGATTCTGATATCATTAGAAGCATGCCAGAACAGACTGGTGAAAAAGAAATCCTGCAATATTTTTCTTTAATAAAACTGATCAGAGCTTGTTTTTTTAAAAAAAAGAAATTGGGGAAGATACAAATTAAATATATTCGTTAATCAGATATGACAAATCTTCAAAAAGTTTGTGGGAAAATTGAATGAAATGATCATGGAATTTTCCACAAACTTTTTGAAGTCCTATTATATTTTTTCATAAATATATTGTTCACTATGGAGAAATCTTATTATAGTTGTACCTTCCTCACACACATGAACTCATATGTATATTTTCTATTCTAATGATATTCTCATGAATGCATTTTTGTATTTCCTGGTATTTTCTCTTGTGTTAGTCTGGGTTGAATAGATACACAAATCCAGGGAGACTCATATGTGTAATAGAGAACTTTATACCAAAGAACAATCGTATATTAAGAAAATATCCCAGCCCAGTCCAGATCAAGGCCATAAGTCTGATATTAGCCCATATATCCAATACCAGTCTAAATTCCTCTTCAGACTCATGCAACACATACAATAATACCGAGTGCAGGAGGATCACAGGCCAGGGGGTGGAAAGTCTTATGGATCCAGTGGTGGAAGGACCTTGGTGCTGGTGTGTGTCTCCACGTGGCTCCTCCAGCTCCAAGGCTCTGGCTACCATCAGCATAGCTCCATGTGGCTTGTCAACAGGAATGTCTTGCAGGGAGAAGAAGCAGAGAGAGTCTCCTGCCTCTAGGGAGTAATACAGGAGAGCCCAGATTCCTCTGGAGAAGGCCATGCCCACACAGAGACCTCATTGGCAGTGACTTGATTGACAAGCTAGACTCCACCTGTTCACAAGTTGACAGATTATGTAACTACCACATCTCTTTTTGCCTCTCAGTCTCAAACTAGGAATAGGAAGATGGAATAGAGACAAATTCAGGGTTTCTTAAAATATTGTGAGGAAAAACTAGATTATATTCTATTGATTAAAATTAAATAGTTATATAAAGTAATAAATTTGGCACATTGGCAATTTTCAGTACATCAATTCCAAACTGCCTGTGTCCTTTGAACAAAAAAGGTGGTGTGTTTTTCTTTAGCGTCAAAGACCTGAGCTCTCAAGCAAAACATCTGTTGGTGTTCAGTTGGGACTTTGGCAAGTGGCCTGGGCACAAGACCTCTGACATAACAATGGACAGACCCTCTAGTGCAGATCAGACATATCATCTGTGGTGGTACCCCAGGGCTTAGTGTCAGGCTTTCATCTATATGAAGATCATTAAGTAATCCCTTCAGGTATAAATAACCCCATTCCCTGCCCTATACCATGTCTGATTCTGATAAATATTTGAGAAATGACTTAGAGCTAGATTTCAACTGGGTAACAAGAGCCAGCCTTCTTGGGTAAGGATGACAAGATAGAGGTTTTCTATTTCAAGGACATGACATTATTAAGATATGAGAATGATATTTATATAACATAGCTTCTTAGTCCAAAATTAACCACTGAAACTAACTTGAAACTTGAAAGTTAAAAAGGAACAAACTTATTTCTTGGTTCACATTGCTGTATATTTCATTACGGGCTTTCAAGTTTATGTGGCGCTAGCCATTAGAGCATAGACCAAAACAAAGCCCCAGAATGCACACTGGAAGGAAAACTAAGAATACTTACTGGCTATATATCAGAAGAGATGTGTGTGTGTGTGTGTGTGTGTGTGTGTGTGTGTGTTTTGCACATAGCAGATCTGAAAAAGAATGAGCTCAAGAAACAAAATATTTCTATGCTGGACGGAAATGCCAGGTAATAGGCAAAGATCATCAGATAATTCCACCAAATGAAGAAACACCCAAACAATAATACACAGTAGGCACAATCTCGGCTTTGACATGCAGACAAATACAGGAGAATTGGAAAGAGTTGAATTGAAATTTGCAAATTTGGTCTGACTCCAAATCCTAATCTCTAACCTAAAGAAATTGCTGATGGGATTCAAAGTCCCAGGGGACTCTAATAGGAGGGAGGAGCTGAGCTGATCTTTAAAGATAGGGTTCAGATAGGTAAGGAGAAAGGCCAACTGGGTAAATGCATAAACTGAAAAATGCCCACTGACTCTCGTAGTGACCCTAGAGGACAAGGTAGAATTGTCCCTGTAGGTTTCTGAGACTAACTTTTTACAGGAGTAGAAAGCCAACGTTTTTTCCACAGAGCACCTCAGTGGTTTTGAACTGCTGACCTTGCAGTTGACAGCCCAACAAGTAGCCACTTCACCAGGAAGGCTCCGGCTAAATGCATGTAGACTAGCAAAGAGTTTACAGAAACGATTAGCTTAGTGGTTCAATGGAATTCATATGCTGGGCAATGAATGCAAGATTTTGAACTACAGGTAATTGGCAGCCACCAGAACCTGTAAAGCATTTTAAGTTACAGAGAGGATAGCTTTGGGTCTGCTCTGGGAAGCAACTCCAGATCCCTGCCCCCCGCTGCCCTTTACTCTTCTGGCCTGGCCCCCATTACTCATCAGGTTCATTCCAGGGGAAGGAAGGGGGGCGGAATTCAAGGTCAGGGCTAGACCCAGGCCCCGGGGGTGGGGTGGGGCGCCCACTGGGTCATATGGGGTAGCCTGTTTCTCGGGCCTCGGGTGAACTTGGGAGACCTGCCCCTGGACCTTCTCTAGGCCGCCCAAGGTGGAAGCCTTCCCGCCCTCTTTCTTTGCCCTTGGTTGGACTCTTCAGATCCACCTTAGGCGCCGCTCTGAGTAAGGGGCGGGGCTGGAGGGGTAGCTGTGAAACCCTCTGTGACGTCACTGCGAGGGGCGGGGCCTCAGCGGGCCGCCTACTTATTCTTCCCCTCAGGCCCGGCTCCCCAGTTCCGGTCCCTGCGGGGGCGGGTCCACGGCACCCAGGTACCTGCGGTGGGAGGGCCTGTTTCCTCAGAACCCCGGAGGGTGGACGGTGGGCGGGACAGGAAAAGGAAACTCGGAGGGGCAGCCGGGTGCCTTTCCCTGTGCTGTGGTGTCTGATGCTCCCGCGGGCTGCCCTCCTTTCCTTCCCGCCGGTTCCGCCAGGCGGCGAGGCAGCCGCGGCCCACAGCCCGGTACTTCCAGCTTCTGTCCGGCGACGGGAGAGGCTTTGCCTGAGGCATTCTCGCCTCAAGCCCCCAACCCCGCTGGGGTTCCCTCGAGCTCCGCGGCCTGGTCTAGGCGGGGCCGCCCGAGCGCCAGCCCTCGTCGCCGGCCCCGCGCCTCCCCGCCGAGCGGCGCGCTGGTTGGTTCGCTCTCCGCCGCACTCGGCACGAGCGTTTCAAACCGTCGCGACCTCCTGGGCTCCCACCCCGCCGCCTAACCTACTCTGTGCTGGTCCGAAAACCAGGTCCGCCCTCGGGGGTTCAGCTCTGCGCCGAAGACTGGGCGCCACCGCCTGGGAACATCGGGAAGATGCGGAGCAGAAGCAATTCTGGCGTCCGCCTGGACGGGTATGCGCGGCTAGTGCAGCAAACGATTCTCTGTTACCAGGTAAGGCGGGACTCCCCACTTCAAGGGTAACTCAGTGCCCTCCCCAGGCCTCCGCCCGCCCGAGACCTGTGATCTGGCAGTTAAGAGGTTTCCTCCTAGAATCCAATTCCCACTGACTGGTGGTCACCGCCCACTCCCAGCCAATACACACCCACACAATTTCTCTCCCTTACCGCACTCCACCTGACTCTCCCTCTCTCCTCTTTCTCCTCCCATTCTCTCACTCACACCCACCCCACCCCACCCCACCCCGGATCTTTTTACAAGTCGAGGGATAGACTAGTTAGTGACAGCTCATCGCCAAATGAATTCTTAGACCACTGCTTGAGATTGAGGACCAGAAAGCACTCCTGGGTGCCCTGGATACAAAATAGATCTCTTTGCACAGACTCCGTTTATTCTGGACAAAAGTGACCGTGTATGTAGGTTGGAAAGAGCCTGCTGAAGCATGGATTACAGGATACAGGACTGTAGAGACTAGTGAAGCTGCTTCCTAACATTGGGCGGGCCCACACCTGCTGCCCCCACTCATGAATTACTTTGATAGGAACCACCTGTGAGGACCTGGGGCCCAGGGGCGCTACTCTGGTGGTTATTTTATGGATGAGAACACAAGGCCAAAAAAGTTACGAACCCAGTTCTTTCTGAACCCTAGGCCAAGGGGCCTTGAGAAGGTGCCCGTGTGATCTGATTTATGACTATGGTCACTACTACGGTTTTGTCTTAATGGGTTAAAGGTACGTATGAGTCCATCATGTAAGTCCACTGGACTATTTTTATTCATATGGAGGACAGCAGCTAAGTTGCTTGCCCTCACTCAACAGCAACTATTTATAGGCTCATCAGAGGCCCAGGAAGAAGTGGCATTAAGCCTGCAAGTTGGGAACCATGGTCTCTCCCACGCTGTTGACCATTTTCCCTTCTCAACCAATCCACTTAAACCTGTTTCCTTATTTCAGGAAATACTCGTGGGCTACCTGATATGTACAAGGCAGTCTGAGGTAGTAGGTGTACAAAGAAAAGTTGTGGCATTTTTGGATAGGGTATAAGCCCAGAGGCCCTTGGCACCAGATGTGGCTGACAAATCAGAACCATTTGGAATTTAGAAAGGTCACGTGCATGTACTTTGTAATCTCGATAACTGCAGTAGGGTCTGGGCTGCAGTCCTTAGCATTGAAATAAGAATATTCTCACAGAATGGGAGGCAGACTGAGCATCATTTCACTTCATTGTAGGTCATCTTTTGCCACCCACTAAGTCTGCCTGTCACTTAGGGACACGCTCACTTTCCAGAGCTACTTGGCTTTTGGAATTGTACATGAAGGGTTGGAGTCCTTAGTTTAGGAGCCTTGAAGAAGGACCTCTAACCCAGTTTGGGGATCACAGGGTAGAGGCCTGCAGAGATAATGCTCAAATTGAAAGTGAAGGAGTAGTAGGCAGGCAAATTGATGTGCTTTCTTCCCTTCCTCCAAGGAATTTATTGTGATTATATTTATAAAATATTCTCAAATCCAAGTGGAGAGGCCTTTTCCCTTGTTACTCTGATGGAAAGGGTTATAGAGAGAGTTGATTAAGCTTGATTCCTCTGTCAGACTGGCTTTGTATCCCCAGCTCTGCCTTCTGTGACTTAGGTAACATTTGCTCCACCACTCTAAGCCAGGCCCTCATCTGTAAAATAGGCATAATAATAGCACCTGCCTCCACTGAGTTGGGGACAAAATAGACATGAGGCGGAACTGGTGCCTGGTATGTCGCCTGGCACCTAGCGGGCAAACAGTCAGTAGTGGATGCTTTTGGTGGTATGATGGCTTTGAGATGAGCCACATGTCAGTACCCAGGCCTGGTGGTCCTCACCTGACCACCCATGCTCGTGATACATTTCTGGAAGTTCCTGACCCAGCAACGAGTTACTTTCTGGTCCTGGAACATAATGTCTCTCCATTGGTGAGTACAGTGAGGGTCGGTCTCGAGCACAGAGACCTCATCAGATCCCTAGCTTTTGCTTCAGCCAGAGCCCCACGTGCATCCAGGGTGGGTGGACATCAGAAGTCTTTGTCGAATACTTCCTGCCGGCCTTGAGCCATGCTAATGACTCAATTATTGACCTCAGGAGCAAAAGAACTGCCCTCTTATTTAAGCAAATCTGCAGGGTTGGACTTTCCTCCCCAACATTTTAATGATTAAAAAAAAGTTGTCTGAGCCTATATTTGTATTGACTTTGTGGGTAGTTGGTGAGAACCACTCATGTTTGCTGTGCGCTCCCTTGGTTGCATGGCTATGCTCTTCTGGCTAACCAGAACTCCAAGCAGGGCCCGGCTGGGGAAACCCAAAGGCAGAGTTGGGCTCCTTGCCAAGGTGGGAAGTATCCCCACAACTCTTCACAGGGTGAGCATTAGCCCATTTCAAGCCTGGTCAGTTTCCCTGAGTGATGTTAACCGACTGTCATCGAGCCAGTCCCAACTCCGAGCCCTATAGGACAGGGGAGAACTGCTCCTTTGGATTTCCATGGCTGTGGCCCTTGATGGGAGCAGAAAGCCTCACCTTTGTCCCATGGAGCTGCCCTTTTAGTTTGTCCACTGCTTCCCCCACTAAACCACTAGGGCTCCGTGAGTGATCAGAACATGAGCTGCGTGGATAATTTCCAAAGTTTGGCTCATTGTCCCATCTTCTTTTGTAGAAACATGCAGATGTTTATGAGGCATTCGCCATTGTCAGCTGTTACAAGCACCAGACCTCTGTTTCTGATTCGTTCTTTAATTTGAGACCAACTTATATTAGTTTCACTTGTTAGGAATAATTCAATATTAAACATGTCTTACTCGTAATTTTTCTGTTAGTAAAAGCCTGTTCATATCTGTGAACATGTCAACTAATTTTCTTTTCTTGTATCTGTGAAAGGGAAGACATTTTCCCATTAGTCATTTGCCAGTTATACTTGTTGCCAAATATTACGTGAGTCTTTAAGGCAAATAATGAAAGGGCTGTGTTTCTGAAAAGGGCCTTTTGTAAGTTTGATTTTCGACAGTTACTTTAAGACGCACCATCAACAATTTGCTGAGTTTTTATAACATTTTTAGATTTTGGCCTAGATAAGAAACAATAACTGTACATTTTGTAATGACTGATGGCTTATTAATGAAATTGTTAAGAGTGGTGATTAGATGTGATCAGAAAAAAAAGTAATGACCCCGTGTCCACTGTCACTGCGGATTATTTGTAGTAAAAGGAGATAGCTCAGGACCAGTGCAGTGCTTTTGAGTGACAATTTAAAATGAGAAGAATAGAATAATTAAAAGATGACACGGATTAAATAGTAAAGCAATAAAGGTCGGGAGGTTATTGTTTGTGAGACATTAGTCATTCGATTAAAGGAACTCCTACAGGAAAACACTGATCATGCAAGTGTGGGAGCAGGAATTGCTCGAATCAATCTTTGCATGGGTGGGAGAGGGTATGGTGTGGCATACAAATGCTAAAGTAGCTGGACCCAGGAGAGGAGCGTGGCTTATCCACCAAAACCGGGAGGCAAGTTATACTTTTCTATCCTATCTACTTCCTTAGTGACTGGAGAGGCGAGATCCTCAGTCCAGTGTGCCATTCACTGCTCGCTCATTGCCACTGAGTGGATGCTGACTCATAGCAACCCTAGAGGACAGGGTAGAACTGCCCCTTTTACTTTCTGAGATAAACTGTTTACAGAAGTAGAAAGCCTTATTTTTCTCCCTCAGAGTGCTGGTGGTTTCAAACTGCTGACACTGTGGAGTGCTTTCCAAATCATAACCATGTATGCCATCAGGGTTTCCAGAGTACATGTGGGGAAGTGTTACTGGAGGTTGGAGAAGAGAGGTGAACAAATATGACTACACCCACTCCTCACTTAGAAACATGGGTATTGTCCAAAGACCAGGTTGGTTTTTTTAAATCATTTTATTGGGGGCTTATACAGCGCTTATCACAATCCATACATCCATCCATTGTGTCAAGCACATTTGTACATTTGTTGTCATCATTCTCAAAACATTTTCTTTCTACTTAAGCTTGGTATCGGCTCCTGATTCCCCCATCCTCCCTCCCTCCCTCGTGAACCCTTGATAATTTATAAACTATTATTTTTTCATGTCTTACACTGACCGGTGTCTCCCTTCACCCACTTTTCTATTGTCCATGCCCCAGGGAGGGGGTTATATGTAGATCATTGTGATCGGTTCCCCCTTTCTCCTCCCACCTTCCCCTTACCCTCTTAGTATGGCTACTCATTATCTCATTATTGGTCCTGAGGGGTTTATCTGTCCTGGATTCCCTGTGTTTCCAGCTCTTATCTGTACCCATGTACATTTTCTGGTCTAGCTGGATTTGTAAGGTAGAATTAGGGTCACGATAGTGGGGAGGGGGGAGAAAGCATTAAAGAACTAAAGGAAAGTTTTATGTTTCATCTGTGCTATACTGCACCCTGACTGGATCGTCTCTTCCTTGTGACCCTTCTGTAAGGGGATGTCCAATTGCAAAGACCAGACTGTTAATGAAAAAAAAAAATCAACGGTACGTGAAAATAGAAGCTGACCACATCAGATCACAAAATGGAGAATGAATACATTATTATATAACTGCCAAACCACTGAAAATCATGGCTCAACCAAGTTGACACATAACCTCAACCATTCCCAGCCAGCGTTAATCTCATCTTGGTATTGGCTACTTACTGCCAGCCATGCTTTATTAATGTGCAGAATAATCAGAGTTTTTACATAAGTTAGGATAGATTTAGTCCTTCAGGAGAGTAAGAAAGTGAATGAACTAACGATTTCTAGTCGAATTGTCAGACAGCATTAAACATTACTTTAAAGTGAGTTAAGTCAGCATAGGTCAGTCAACTGCAGTCTACTGTCCAGGGGTACCCTTTGAGTATGGAGAAGAGTCAGATTTTACTAGAGCTGCGATCTACCCAGGAGCCCTGGTGACTCAGTGGTTAAGCATGCTCAGCTGCCAAGCAAAAGGCTGGC